ATATTGATAATAATAATAATAATAACAATAATAATAATAATAATAATAATAATAATAATAATAATAATAATAATAATAATAATAATAATGATAATAATAATAATAATGATAATAATAACAACAATATTAAGAACGATAACAAAAATAATAACAATAACAACAGCAGTGAATAATGTAATGTAACGCCACAGTACAATTTGATTTGAATAAAACCGAAAAATGTTAATCCAGAAATTCAATTTAGGAATCCGAAATATCGTTTCAGAAAAGAGCAGCCTTATCTCTGAATATAAAGACCTGAATGATCATTTCTGCAATTTGGCATTATCGTTCATTTTTCTTTATTTCTTCGTCGATAATTTTCTTTGATCTGTAGGCTCGTGACCGCAGTGATAACGGTTGCTGTACGTTATCAGATAATCATATTCCAAGTCCATTTTAACTGATATTTCTTTATATAACACGGTTGTAGTAATGATTATGATTAATAATATTATAATAGGGTCGCTAATTTTCCGCTGCTCATTTCATTTCTCTTCTAATCTGTGAAAAATTTTCCGACCGAGTGATATCTCGCAAAGACGCCAGTCGACGAACGCCATTGCGGATTCACGCATTCGCCATCCGGTTGGTTACAAGAACGCTCTCTCTCTCTCTCTCTCTCTCTCTCTCTCTCTCCCTCTATCTCTCTCTCTCTCTCTCTCTCTTCTTAGAATATTACTAAGCGAAATCAAGCTGAAAATTAAGAACAAACTCATTTTCACCTGCGTAATCTCGTTTTTAAAACTGCTATTAGGTCACCAGAGTCGTCAGTTTAATTAAAACTAGATTTTCGCTAAGAGGGGTGACGGACTTAATTGAGCGCGCGGGGGAGTTTCATGGCGCCCACATCACTTTTAATTACTCGGAAAAATGGCTTATTCTTTATTCAAATCTTGATATCGTGTCGTATAACGCTGTCTGCCTCCACAGGGGAAATAATTGGTTTATTTTATCTGGAGTCTTTCTCACTTTAATTCGGGCAAAATCTTAAATCATCCCGTTAAATTTGTCGAAGGAAATTACCCGTTCGTGGATTCACGTGTTCCTTTAGTTTATTATTATTTTTTTTCTTTCTTTTATTCTGTTTCATATTCTCTTTCTTTTTTACTTTTTTTTTGAGAAGGGGGGGAGGGAGGGAAGGAAGGGGGTTTACAGAACGTTTTCAGAAGATTATTTGAAGTCACGAGATCCAAAATTTGGAGCAAATACGAGAAATGGATGTCACAGCGGTCGTATTTTCTCGGACGTAAATCAGGGTCAAATAGCCATTTTATTTTCGTTTTTTCTTTTTTTTCCCGAAGGTGATTTTGATGTCGGAGGAAAACAAAGGAGTTTATTTGGAAGAAGAGAGAGAGATAAGGAAAAAAATGAAGAAGAAGAAGAAGAATGGAGTAAGAATCCATATTAAGATGGTAATAAAGAGGAAGAGGAAAACGAAGAAGAGGAAGAAAAGAGAACGCTAATAAAGAGAAACAACAAAAACAGATGAAGAACAAAGAAAGGAAAAGACAAGGAAAAGTTAAAAATGCAAATGAATAAAAACAAAATCAAAACAAAACAAAAAACATACAGAAAAAAATTTAACGAAAAAAATAACGAAAAAAAAATAAAAAAAAAATTACCAAAATACAAGAACCAAAAGAGAATACAAACACACAAACAAACAAACAATCAAACACATAAACAAGGCTGTTACTACCCCGTCATCTCCATAATATTCCTAAACAAGGAATCATTAACGAGCATTAACAACGACACATAAAACACAGGCCTTTTGATATATCTAAAAAAAAAAAGAAAAAAGAAAAAAAAAGATCTTCCCCAAAATTGATTTATATCATAATAGATAAATAAATATATGTAAATATATATATATGTATTTTTTTATATACATATATATATCTTTTTTTTTTCTTCGTGACATGAAAATTTAGTTTTGTCATGGCATAGGCGGTGCCAGCGTGTCATAAACTAGCGGGAGTGTCATCCTGGCACGGGAGGGTTTCTGACACACGATATGGAAAGGGGAAGGAGGAAGGGGGGAGGGGGGACAGGTGGAGTAGTCGGATGGGGAGTGTGGAGGGGGGAGGGGACAAGGGGGTTAGAGTGAGGAGGGGGGGGAGTGGAAAGTGGTCTAATGAGTGAGTAAAGGGGGTGGGGGGAGGGAAGAGTGGGGAGAGAGGGGGAGGTTGGAAATGTTGGACGAGGGAAACATTAAGGGGTCAGTGTGGGTTGATGAATTATACATAGAGTACACACACACACACACACACACACACACACACACACACACACACACACACACACACACATATATATATATATATATATATATATATATATATATATATATATATATAGGGAGAGATAATAACAAAGACAACTAAAAACAAAAAAAATATATACATCGAATCACAAAAATACAAGTAAACGAACGAACCAACTAGCAAACAGACAA